CAAATTAATTACTTAAATAGCTGAAATATAATTATGTGCGGAGCTTATTGAAAGCCTTTGGCGCTTATCTTTGCTCATTTGGCTAAATGTCAAACGGAAGCGAAACGTTGCATGTGCCACAAGATAATATTTAAATGGATTCTTAATGGAAGCACAAACAGCTGCGACGACGATGATGACGACGACGACGACGACTGAACAGATAAGTCTGGCAATCAAAAATTGCGTCTCTCAGACAGAGACTCGCCCGATTTATGAGTCCAAGCCCCAAGACGGCTTTGCCTTTAAATACTTCACCTCAATTTGCAAGCAAATGTCAGAGACATATAAATTGAAAAAATACCCAAGTACTTTACTACTCTACTCACTCATTGAGCGCTACTTCGCTAGGCGAAACTAGAGACGGAAAAATTGAAAATTAAAAAAAAAAAAAAGAAAGCAAATGTATTGAAAGCAAGAAAAGTTGCCTATGTACCAAGCGTAATATTAAATAATTCATTCACAAGTCTCCAACTTGCCAAACTTTTGCCCCTGGGTGAAGTTTTTCTGTATTTGACTTTTGACTACTTTTTTTTTTTTTTTTTTTTTTTTCTTTTTTCTCTTTTTTTTTTTTTTTTTTTTTTTTGCTGCCTTGATGATGTTGTTCTCGTTGCCAATCGCTGCTAATTGGACCAAGCTAGGCCAGAGATTGCAATAAATGGCAAGTAAATGGTCAAGAAATGGCTAAAAATCAAGCAGCTATTAAAATTCTCGAGTCCCAAAGTTAAATGGTTCATAAAGAACGAAAAAGTAGTTGAAATCAAAAGCAGTTAGTAGTAGAAAAATTGGTTGAAAGCAATATTTTAATTAGTTCCAAATTGTTAATTAAATGTTTGAGTGTTGAGTGAGACTTGAACTGGTACATGAGCAAAAATGTGGTAAAGAGCGTAGTAGAAAAAGTTGAATTAGTAGTAAACGAAAAACAGCTAAAGTAGGTAACTGCTATTCAATGTTCTGTGAGAATCAAAGTGAAGTAAATTGGCTTAGCAAGGAAATAGTAGTAGACAAATAAGAACCAACTTATCAAACAAAACAAACAGGAGAAGGAAATGAAGACGACTGATTAAATGTTTGAGGCTAATAAAAAAGCCTAATAAGAGAATAGTAGTAGAAAAATTGCAGTTTGCAGCAGATAAAAGGTTAAAGCTACATTTTAAACAGTTTTCAAATATTAATATAATGCTTAAATATTGAACACACTCAAAATAAATCCAACTTGTTCATAAAGACAAGAATAGCAAAACAACAAGGCAATTAGTAGCAGTAGAAATAGTAGTAGAAACAGTAGTGGATGGAGAGATGAGTAAATATGCCATAAATCAAACAGTTCTACACTAACATATTTTCTAACAACCTAAACTAACAATAGTAAAAGTTTTTGATTTTCTAACTACTACGGCTTGGATCATCAATCAATCAATCAGCCCGGCAGTCAATCAGTGCAAATAAACAAGTTTATGTGCATAACAAGTAAGCATATTTATTCTGGCAAGTGTATGTATATATGTATGTACGTACATACATATGTAAATAGTTGGGCCGCTTGTAAGATTTGCATTGTTGTTAATTAATCTCATTCAAAATATTGGACCGTGTGTCGAGCACTGTACGCTTCATCAGCATCCACTGGCACACACACACACCCGCACATACACACAGATATGCATGTTGATAAGTCTAACAATGCGAATGGAGGGTATGAAATGATGGGCATATGACTGCAATGGCCCACAGAACGAACGATTGATAAATACGAATGCCGACGCCGGCGTTGATGCTGGCGTCGGCGCTGCCACAATAACGTATGTAGCTTATTTTTCAGATGACCAAACGAGACGACGACGACGACGTCGATGACGGCGACGACACAAGCAAAAAGCAAATAACAACAGCGACAGCAGCAGCAGCGGCGGCGGCGGCGGCGGCAGCAGAAGCGAGTAATAAAGTTGATTGCAGGCAGTACCAAGCAGCAAATTGAATATTTCTGTATGTGTGTGAATGTGTGTGCGTGTGTGTGTATGTGTGACGGTGCCTTTGTATTTGTTCGCATTGTTAGATGTCAGCAGCAGAGACACAACCAAACGCAAGAGAGCAGCTTTGAGCTCGCGCTCTCCCACGCCAAATGCGAACAAGCCATTGTTAACGGTAGTCTCAGTGTGAGGCCTCTGCCAATGGCAGACTCTCAGCGCCTGCTACCAATACACAGATTTAATGAATTTGGTTCTATCCATCCCAGCAGCAGCAGCAGCAGCAGCAGCCAAGGGCAAACGCAACCCTCGGCTCTCGCTCAATTTGTGCTGCTCTCTGTGGCTGCGCTGCGCTGTGCTCTTCAGCTGTTTGCTGCTTGTTGCTTTGTTTTTGTTTTTGTTTTATGCAGTGCGTTTTGTTGCTGCTTCTGCTGATGCTTCTGCTGCGTCTTTTGCTGCTCTTGCCAATCTTGGGCTTTATCGATTTTCTTTTGTTTATAATGCGTGCTCGCACACACACACACACACACACACACACACACGCGCACATTTGTTTGTTCCCGTTGTTATTCTACGGTCGGTGCGAGCGCCCCTTTCGCTTTGTCTTCGGTTTTCGGTTTCTTGTTTATTTGCCTTTACTGAGCGAGCCCGCTGATAAGCAAAGAGGCGCGGGCGTTCTATGCATATCTCATGCAGATATGAAGAGGATTTATGGCTGGCAAAAATTATGAGTCGCCGGTATTATATACATATTTATTTGCTTAACGATCGGCTAGCTGCCTGAAAAGTGCAGTTGATTGACTAAGGGAAATTCCATGCAGCTGATAAATAATATTGATAATTATTACTCTATAATATTATTGATATATAATAATATTATAAATTATTTTCTAAATTACATTAAATACAACTTTAAATAACTTTTTAATTAGTATTAAGTTAAAATACATATTTTTATACATATATTTTTGTATTAACTTTATAACACAATTTAAATTTAATTTATATTACAAATTTAATATATTAGTTTTCAACAGATTTCCATACAACTTCTGCGTACAATTCAAACTTATATTTATTTGCTTAACTAGTTGAATAGAGCAGCTCAACAGTATCCTGTTTCACATATCAGTATTAAGTTAAAATAAATATTTCTATATATTTTATATACATTTTTGTGTTAATTTTATTAAACAATTCACATTTAATGTATATTAGAAATTTAAATTTAATAAATATATTTGTTTTCAACAGATTTCCACACAACTTCTACGTTCAATTCAAACTTATATTTATTTGCTTAACTAGTTGAATAGAGCAGCTCAACAGTATCCTGTTTCACATATCAGTCTCTCCCTCGTCGCACCTCTCTCCCTCTCTCGCTCACTCACTTTAGTGGATAGCACACGTTGCTAGGTTTATTGGCAACAGCACACAGCAAAAGTTCACCCAATTGTTTACATCAGCAGAATGCTGAGCAAATGGCATCCTCTCAGCATTAGCAACAGCCGCAGCAGCAACAGCAGCAGCCGAAGCAGTAGCAACAACAACAGAAGAGAGAGAGAGAACGCAGCCCCCAAAAACAACGTGTGGGTCTCTCGTGCTCTCTTCGCTTGTTGCTCTCGCTCACTCCGCCTCTGTTTGTCGGTCGCACGCTCTCTCGCTCTCGCTCTCGCCGTTTGTTTCATACTGCATACACAAACAAAAACATTAGCAGAGCGCAGCGGGCAGAATGTCGCTCTCAATGTGGCTTACGTGCGCTCAGCAGCGGCTGCTGCGCCGCCAATTTGCAAGAAAATTTAAGTTCGTTTACAGTTGGTTTTGTGGGGCAAGTTGTGAAAAACAGCGACGCACAGCAGCTGCTGCTGCCAAGAAGCGTTGGCAACAAAGCGTTGGGCTGTCGAACAGACAGAGCGACACACACACGCACACACAACACAGCCAGATACAAATGTACAAATATAATAAACAATTTAAATTAATAATATACGAATATCAATTGAGCTTGCAATTGTGCTGCCGTGCGTGTGAGTGTGTGTGAGTGCGTGTGAGTGTAACTGTTGTTATTGTTGTTGCTGTTGCTGTTATAGCAGTTGTTGCTCTCGCTGCGTCCGCCCGCTTATTTGTGTATACACACACACACACTCACACACACACACATACACACGCGCTTAGTGCCGCTGTGTGTGTTTGTGAATTTTGTGGTACATTTTGCGCTCGCATCGTTTACAGATTTTTGTGGTGGCAAATAGTTGTTGCATAGCCTTCATACAACACACAGCAACAATTACTAACACTGCGACAAGTGGCAGCAAACGAGCTAACGACCGAGCACAGCCACAGCAACAACAGCAACAACAGCAACAACAAGCAACGTTTTGTTAATTGAAATAAATTGAAATAAATTCTCAACGTGCTGCTCAAATTGTTAATAAACACAAGAGCAACAACAGCAATAAGAACAACAAACAAATAAACAACATAGAAAATTGTGAACTAAGAAAAAGTTGTTTTTAGTCGCTTACGAGGCGCCAAATGTTTTAGTATAAAATTGATACACATGTATATGTATATAAATAAAAAATAAACAAAAATACAATAAACCACAAAGAAAAATCATAAGAGATTCAACAAATTAAACTCGTGCAAGTGCGTACACAAATTGTTTTAATTATATCAATTATAATTTATACTCTTTTCGTTGTTGTTGTTGTTGGTATCAGCAAGTCGGCAAATTTTTTGCGTATTTTTAGCCTCTCTGCATGTGTGAGAGTGCGTAGATATACATGTGTGCGTGTGTGTGTAATTGAAAATTAGTTGAGACGAGAAATTGGCAGAAAATAAAAGCTAAAAGAAAACGCATCACAAATTCAAAGCTAAAGAGGCGACAACACTTCTTACGTAAGCTGAAAAGAGACAACGCAATTAGCAGAGCAGGCAGCAAATCGGTGGAAAGGGAGCGAGAGAGAGACAGAAAGTGTGTGGGAGACAGTAGCAAATCTGATTTAAGGATTGGTAAGACGTAGTTTTTCTCATAATTTTCTACGAATGTTTTTGTTTGTCCCTGTAATTTCGTCTGTATATATTTTATAAAAAATATATGTGTATATAAACAAAGTTTTCAATAGCCAAAAGTATCTGATTATTCAATCAGTCAATTACCCACCTATTTTCACTTATCTTCCATAGCCATAATAATATGATCAAGCAGGATTGCCTAAACTACTAAACTTTTTTGATTGAGTGTAATAAAAACATATGTAAATACTATTACGTTTATATGTATAAAATATGTGTGTATGTATCAATCACACTTAACATTTTGTCTGCCGTTCATAATTCATCCAAAAACCTCAATCGATCCATTAGCCCAGTCAATCAAAATTATCTTTTCAGGTTCTCTTCACTTATGATTTTTCATGAAAATTTTACTTTTAACGCATAACAAATACTCATTCGATCTGCAAACGATACACAAATTGCTATATAGATATGTAGCGCATGTATATATATATATATAGTATACATGTACAAATGTACCTGCACACTCTCGACCACAACGCTTCGATTCTGGGAATGCGAAGCCAGAACGTTTCAAATGTTTATTTTATGCGATTTTTTGTTTGGTTAACTTTTAATTGTACTTTATTTGAGGGAAATACTTAGATAGCTATAAAATATACATATATATTTATATATATCTATATGCATGCATATGTTTAGAAAATCATATGGATACGTGCTCATCATTTTCAAATGAATTCAAAAATCACTTGCCTTTCCCATTAACTTTACAAATTGGCAAATCGGAATTATTATTGCAGTTCACCTAGTTATTATTTGTTGCTTTATATACCTGCTTAAGATCTTTTTGACACTAAATTTGGTTCATGTCTTTTAAGTATTTTTAGTAAATTTTTGTACATTTTAATATTTACATAAAAGTTACTCATAGAACATTTTGTATCGTTCTATTTATCATGATTATTAATATATATATTTAAAATTATTTTTATCTAATATCTAATACTTTTAGCTAAGTAAACAAAACTCTATGCCTAATGTGAAACTTCAATCGTATTCTGCAGTTATAAATTATTATAGTTCATTTTTCTCCCCTTTCCCTATATTAATTTGATATTGATTTTTAAACTGTTTTGCATAGTTACTGCAGTTGATTAGCCTCGCTTTGCTTCCCCTCCCAACTTTTAGCCTTTTCAATTGCATTTGCATATCTCGCATGTCTCAAAAACAAATAACTCCCTGACAAAAAGCCCAAACCATCTATTCAGCTCCATACACATGCAGTTCATTGAACTTGGAGCTCAGAAGCAGTGTTCAAATCGCAAGTCAAACTCAAACCCTCAATTATAAAGTGTCCGAAACGTTGCATACTTTTCGGCCAGTTGGCCAACAAGGCAATAAACAGGCAACAAATTATATTAACGATTTTCTCACTTCACGCAGCTTGCGCAGCATCTCGAAGCGGGCAAAGGACGCACACGCACACACACACACACACATACAGAAGGAAACACGTGTGTGTGAGTGTCATGCGCAGTGGACACTTTGGTAATGCCAGCAAAAGAGGCCGCAGCAACAACATAAAGCTAAGAGACTCTTAAGAGAACAACAGAGTGAGCGTGTGTGTGAGAGAGAGAGAGAGGGAGAAAGACAGTGAGACAGCTACTGAGATGGCATTCTCGCGTCACAACATCGAAAAGCGCCGACTCATCGAGCTAGTTCGGCTCAATCCCATCCTGTGGGACTGCCGTCTGCCGCACTACAAGCGCTCCGACAAGAAGAAGGCCGTCAAATGGAACGAGCTGGGCCGCATGTTCAACGTGAATGGCGAGCGAGTGCAGCGCACCTTCACCTCGCTCAGGGAGATCTTTCGACGCGAGCTCAATCACGAGAAGATGCTGGGCACAACGCGCTTCAAGTCCAAGTGGGAGTACTACGATGCCATGGCCTTTCTCAAAGAGGTCATCAGAGAGCGAAAGTGAGTACTAAAAAATGGGGGAGAGGATGGTGTAAAGAGGAGATATATGTAAATACATATGACGAGATATTAAATGGGAATAAACACTTAAAATATTTGTTGTAGGCTAGTTTAAAATATAGTTCTTTATTTATAATAATAAGAATAATAATAACAATGCGAATATTCTTTATTTATTTGCAATAAACTATATATAAAAATTTTACTTCAAATTAAAATAGAATAAATATTTTAAGTTAATTGCTTTATTTGTTGATTCACCTATAAATATTTCAAAATATGTATTTTTTAACTTATTTATTTCAAATAATTTTTAAAATTCAATATAATATTTTTATATATATTTTTTTACATTTATTATTAATTATTATTAATATTATTAATTATTAATATATATATATTATTAATTATTAATATATATTTTTATTTATTTATATTTAATATTAAAATTTAAAATATATTTATATGAAAATTTACAAAAATGTCCAATATTCATTTTGAAAACTTTATTTAATTAACTAAAATAATTTCATTAATATTTACATACATTTTTTGCTTCTCAGATCTCGTGAACGCATCAAGCATCCCGTTGCAGAGGCTACTACCCACAACAACAACAACAACAACAGCACAAATAGCAACAACAACAACACAAATATCAGCAGCAACAACAACAGCAACAACAACAGCAACAGCAATAGCAACAGCAACAACAACAGCAACAACACAAACAACAACAACAACAGCGTAGCCCACGATGAATATCAATACTTTGCGCCCAGCGATCCAAATAATCCCAACAATCAGCCACTCAAATCACCTGCAATCCAGCCCAGCATCAGCCAGCTCCCTGTGGCGCTGCAGCAACAGGCGCAGCATTTGCAGGCGCTGCAGCTGCAGCCGGACGTGACCCTCACCTCGCTGCAGAAGGCGCCCTCAGCTGTTGTGCTGCCCCTGGCTGTGGCAGCCCCGGCCTGCCCCACGTCCACGACCACGTCCACGCCCATACCCACGACCACGCCCACAGCGGCTGCACCTGTGCAACTGTGCGGCAGCTCGCGCTCCTGCAGCAGCTCACCTTCGATTTACATCAAGGACGAGCCGGAGTCGCCGGACTTGCGCGAGCAGCCCGACGAACTGGTGGCCAGTCGATCGGGCCAGAAGGCGAAATTGGCCACAATTCGACCGCAGACGAAGCAGCAGCTCAAAGCTCGCCTGCAGGTGGCCAAAAGTGGGCTGTATGCCACGCCTCCGCCGCATTTGATCATCAATACGAATAACGAGCTGATCGATGTGGATGCTGGTGACCTGGACGATGATGACGATGACCTGGAGTACGATGATGACGATGACGATGATGACCTAGATGGTAATCATCGCGGCGATTGTCCGCCCAACGCAAATATGAATGTGCTCGGTGCAGGGGGTCGTCTCTCACCCGGCAGCAGCTACACAGGTGCCGGCGCTGCCAGCACACGTCATCAGCCCACGCACCGCGAGCTGCTCTACATCAAATTTGGCGACTTTCTTGCCGCACGACTGAATACCCTGCACGAAACTGTGGCCAACGAGCTGATGAACAAGATCCTACTGCTAATTGCCGAGAAGTGAATGGGAAGACTGCATCAAGAGGGCCAGCAACTGGTCAAGTGGAAGGAGAAATCATAGCCGTGCTAAATAGGTAAGTGAACCAAAGTTGAGATGCTGAGAATAATCTAGAGAAAAATTGTCAATAGACAGACAGGCTAACAAGAATGAAAAGTGGATTGAAGTTCGCCTTTTGCCTTGGTAACTTCAAATGCTTTATCAAAGTTCTTACAGAGAAACTTTTGAAAGGCTTTGTCTTATGGTCTCAATGAAATAATATATATAATATAAATAGAGATTTATTTAAATACTACTAAATTCTTATTTAAATACTTTAATACTTTAAATATGTGTTTGAGGGCATTGAAAATATGTTCAGCTATGCTTAGCTAATCTCAATCTAGGCTTGACAGAATTATAAAGATATATCAGAATACTTGGCAGCTCCTAGCTAGCTTCTATGCTTCAAAGCTGTCCGGTTGAAGTGCTTTAAATTATATTTATTTATTATTTTATTTTTTTTTTATAATTTTATAAAATATACTGATGCCGAAAACATTTATTTGCAAATTATAATATTTTCATTTTATTTATATAGTATTTTTTATAATATTTTTAAAGAATATATTTTTAAAATTATTTAAAAATTCATTTTTATAATATAAGAACATTTCATATTTAAATATTAATAAATTAAAAACAATTTAGTATTTAATAATTTATAAATATATTCTACACTCAAGTTGTAATAGCGCAAAGTTTTAACAGCTCTAAAAGTTCATTTGATAAATGTCTTTTTGCATTGTTTGAGCTGTATAATGCTTTTTTCTCGCTTAATCATTTAACGCTCAAATCCTGGTTTTTTTCTGGGATTACTTTCCACTTACATTTGTTGGCCCAAACTGAAAAAAAAAATTCGCTGTAAAAACTAGTTAAGTTCTACAAAATTTATTAGTTTGAGCAATTTGTGTGGTCGCCACTTGACTTCGCTGCAACTTGCAACAATATATTTAAATTTATATATAAACTATTCTTTTTTTTTTTTGTGCTTCTCTCTTGTACACACAACATGCCAAGACCATAAAAAAGTTTTAATTTCCGAATGCTGAAGTGGCCCAGAAAGAGAGAGAGAGAGAGAGAGAGGGAGAGAGTGTGTGTAAGAGGAGCTCCTTATGCCACATATTCGCGTTGCGAGTTGTCCGAAAATGTAAAAGCTTTCACGCATAAATAAATAAAAAAAAACTGCCCCTGGCTATGCAGCATGCCAAGAGAATGAAAGCCAATAGCTACCAAGTCGTACAATGACCGAGGCAATATAGCTATGTATGTGAGTATATATGTATAATAGGTCTTCAGTCGGGAGTGCCAGACTGATAAATAGTCTTCACGCTGTTAGCAGCTGCAATATGTTAAGGAGGGAAAAATCTGCATTTATAATAAACAACAATTAATACTGGAATTGTATTGAAATTAATTATTTAATTATTAATTATTATGATTCCCATGAAAGTTAATCTAATAACAAACAAAGAGAAGAGTTAAATTATTATATAAATAATATATTAATATTATATATTAACGTGACCTAAAATAGAATCTTAATGATCATTTACATTATGATTATTATATTAATGACAGTTCATTTCATAATTCTAATAAACATTAATACATTGATAAATATTTTACAGACTACGTATATAGTTATTTATATTTAGTACAATGATCATAAACATAACGATCATTATCTTATAAAAATAATTATTAAAATAATTATTTAATAATCAATAATCTTTAAATTATAAATATAATATAAATATAATAACAAGGCAGCTTATTTTATACTTAATATTATTAACACAATCCAAAGATGAAGAAGAAGATGACGCAGCGGAAGAGGAAGAGGAAAAACACTTCCCTGCACTGAATATGCAGGCACGATTACGACTGAAGCTGAGCTGCTGCAGGCTCGCCTTTTTATAGGGCCGACCCTTTTCCAAACAACTTCGACCCCAACTGCTCTCTGCTCGATCATGAAACGACAAGTTGCAGTTCAATAATGCTCTTTGAAGCATTCTCTTTTACTTTTCTCTCTCACTCTCTCTCTCTCTCTCTCTCTCTCTCTCTCTTTATATATAGATATACATATTTATGTGTATAAATCACCTTTCTATATATTAATTATTATTATTATATATTTATGTATACAAAAACTCCCTCTATACACCGATCTCTCTCCTCACCGCCCCTCTCCATCTCTCACTTTTTCTCTGTCCACATTTTATACGCTCGTTAGCATAATAAACTTTTTTTTTTGCGCAGTTTTTTTGAATCAAAGTTCCGCTACTGTTTGCCCTATCAGCGACTCGCTGCATTTCATATAACGATAATTTATGGCAAATTTATAATGTTGTAAGTGCCAACAAACTTGCTGAAACTATCTATAAAAGGCCACACACACACACACACACACACACACACGCACTTAAGCCACCCACTGTGCCGCTGCCCAGAATTAAGGCTGAGCTCGTAAAGCTGTTGCCATAGATACCAGATAGCAATGACTGCGCCAGTGGATGGGGTAGCTAAAGGGAAGCTGCTGAGAGTTGACGGAAAAGCCACATCCACACAGACACGCACACATACACACACACACACACACACACATGTGCAGAGACAGCAGAAGCGTCACAGCATAAATATTACAAAATCGTAAATACACACGCCCAAAACTTGTGAGACTACAGTGTGTCTGTGTGTGTGTGTGTGCGTGAATAGTGTGCGTGTATATGTAAACTATGTGTGTGTGCGTTGTGTGTTGTGTGAAGTCATTCGCACAGCAGCAGCTACACTTGACTCATAGATCTTGCGGCTCTCACAGCTTTCAGGCCTGCCAAACTGAGGTTTCTTGGGGAAATATAGCTGCTATAGTTTATAAGCTAAGGCTGGAAATAATATATTATATATATAATATATATATTCAAAATGTGCAAGAGGAAGACTGATAAAATATTGTATATATTAAAAGAAATATATATTAGGACTGTCCGTTTTTATCATACGATAAAAATATAATCAAAGAAAATTTTGCTTGGCTGACCAAATGTGCCCATAGATTATATGCATGCAACTCTCTCATATTATATATTATTCTATATCTTGCCTGACTGACCTAATATGTCCATAGATTATATATACTTTCTTATATTAAATATTATTTTATATCTCCCATTCTATCCCTTTATTTTAGCTCATATAAATTTTGGCCATATATTTCGAATCTCTCCCATTCAGTTTCTTCGGAACTGCCCGTACTTTAGAGTAGTTGCAACACTTCCTGTTGCTCCTAAGATATTTTCAACGTTTTCCTGTGTTTAGTGGCAGTCCGAAAAGAAATGAAATCACAGTTGGCTACAATGTCTAAGGCGTTAGATAAACGCGTCCGTCCCGCTTAGCTCTGAGGCTCTGAGGCTGTGAAGCTGCGAATGGAGCGCGCTTAAGTTAGGAAATTTTGTTGCATTGCCCGCGGCGTTTAGCCCTTTGCACATAAAATTGCATATGCAACTTAATGTTTACACTGGTCGTAAAAGTTTAATGGATTTTCTAGCTGCTGCGAGTAGGGCGTAGCAGTCAAACAATGTGCCCCCCCTGCCACTGGTTTGCCCCACTGCGCAGCCTAAACTTTTGTAGCCATCATAAAAATGCAAAAAATAAATATGACTAAAGCATTGTCAAATATTTGAGAAAATCAGAAATGAATTATGTATGCATTTCACTTTTTATTTATTTAATAATTTTACTCCGAGTTTAGAGAGCTTTGCCTGCATTTCCGACTAATCAGACCAAGCTCAATTCCTACTTCAATGAGATATGTATGAATTGGAAATGTTTGTGGCAAACAGATATTAATTCGAATTTATTACATAGAAAATATCTAAGTAGCCGGCTCGGCTCTTGCCTTTGGCTAATCAAATGCAAATTTGTATACATTCATTATTGAATGGGAATGCAACGAGCTAGTGAATTGCATGCATGAGCATTAGCATAATTATAATTGTGGGCGGGGCAACAAAAACCTGGCCAATGCCATTATCAAAGACGTTCAGCATGAGCCGCATGCAACATGATGCGGATAGATAATTGAATGCCGACAAGCGATTGGATTTTGGGCCAGCACAAAAGGCTGCAGTATCAATATTGACAGCCATTAATATGGCCAAGTTATACAATAAGCAGTCAATGTCAGCTCTTGGGTTATTCATGACACACACACACACACATACACACACAGAGAGAGAGAACTCTAAGGACGATTGCATTTTTAATGAGCAGGAGGCGCCTTCGATACGCTTCCGCTGCTGGCTGATGACTGGGAAATGCTTCCGCCTGCGTTTGGGAAATTTGACAGCATACGTAAAGCAGCGGCTGGTATCAGGTTAATTTGAGACGCAGCCACAGGGAAAAGCCAACGGAAAGGCAGCGGAAACTTACACACACACACACACACATATACTCTCTCTGCATTGAAATGTCTTTGGCTACGTTGTCGTCGTCAGCTCCTTCAGCTTCTTAATGGCCGCAGGACATGTCAAAAGAATTGATGACGTGCAACGTCTTCGACGTGCGCTGCAATCATAAAACTGGCTACAGTCGCTCCTCCCATCACACTCCCCACCCGCCCCGCGTTCTCCCATCCCATGGGCCACCTAACCTGAATTCGCTTTTTGTGAAGAAATATCTACTGCCAATAAAATCGTTTTAGAAATGGATTTGTCAGCTTCTCTGGCAACGATTAATTTAAGTTACCAATTCTAGATGACACGGGCTGAAAGTGAGATTTGACATAAAAAAAGCAGTGTTGTATAGCGTTGTAAAATAAGCTATATATCACTTTTACTGCACCTCTACTTTGTGGCTGCACGGATTGACAGAGATCTCTCTAGTATAGCAGTGTTGAATGTTTTTTAAAGCCAGCACCAGTGTTGATTAAATTACTTTGTTGTATTAGCTTGAACTAGCGCTACAAAGCTTTTAACTTGAAAAGCACGTTATTTTACGTTATTTATTGAAGTACATTCTACAATTGTTGGCTTTACC